GGTCCCTGTGGGCGCAGCACAAACGGCCTCTCCCTGCCCCGGCCCGGGCCCTGCGCGGGAGCCGGGAGGCAGCCGCCGAGCGGAAGCTCCGGCCTGAAGGAGGCGGAAGGCGGCCGCTTCCGGGCTCCTCGCGGCGTCGGCTGCAGAGGCTCCGACCCAGAGCAGACTCCACGCCGGCTCTTCCCGCCAGCCCGGGAGGCGCACGGGGGCTTGTGGCTTTCGCTTTACGGAGCGGAAGGCGTCTTAACAGGAAAAAGGGAAGATTCCTCTGCTGGGGCCAGCCCTGCAAGTCCAGGCGGCTGGAATCGGAGCTCCTGGCCCGACCGCCAGCCCGCCTCGGCCTCAGCTCAGGGGCCTGCCGGCACTGCTGCAGGTTCAGGAACCCTGTTCAAGGGAAATGAGAAGCGGGTCTGTTTTCGGACCCCTGACTAATTCCTTTTATTCTGTGTTCTGTAGGGCAGAGCAGGCGGGAGGTAAGCAGAGAGATACAGGGCCCAGGACTAGGCAAAATCTTATCTCCACAGCAAACACGCCTTCAGGTGACTGAACTGTCCCCTGCGCGGCCGGCCGGCCGGCCTTCCGTTGTGCTCAGGACTCTGACCTTGGCTGGGTCAGCAAACAGCCTGCTCAGCCGCGTCCCACAGTGGGGACTGACACCCAGGCCCCTCCGCGCGCTCCAGACCCGCGGCCGCCCGGGCTCGGTGTCCAAACCCCACCGCTGCCTTCACACCCGAGCTGGCCGCCTGTCCCTCTTCTGCCCTCTCCTGTCACTCAGTCTTCCCGAAACGGGAGATGGCGTTGGCACCCGGAGCTGCTCCCATCGTTTCCTCTGCCCCGCCCGTTCCGTCTCCCGGGAGGCGCGCGCCTGGGTTACCGCATCACGTTTTACTCATCAATTGGTTCTAAACCCTGGAAATCAGTGAGCACGTCCGGCTTCGGGTCCAGGCAGGTACCTGACGAGCGTGTTCTTGGCCTCGAAGTCAAATGGATACTTTTTATACTCAGAAAACTTGCCCAATAAAAATCTGTTATGTTTCATTTGGACCCCACTTTCTTGAATAGAGTTTTTATCTCTGCTGAGATCATCCCGTTTCCGTCAAGTCCACTTTCAGCAGCTTCCCTGGGTGACTGTGGAGAGAGCCTCGCCCCGGAGAGCAGCGGGTCTCGCGCGGCGTTTCCGCGCTGGCTGGGGTCTGGGAGCAGAGTCGGGACCAGCCAGGGTCTCCCACCCCCGTGGGACGCAGAGTGTTGAGGCTGGAAGGCGCCTCGGCGAGCAAGCTCGGTGGTTTTGAAATGGCCTCGTTTTTGTTTTTTGCTGTCTTTAATGAAATGTCTTTTTGAAATGAACTTTTCCACTGGACCCAACCTAAAAAGAGCAAAGTGTCGCTGCCGTCGCTCAGCGGGGTCTGTCCTGCAGCCCCTCCTGGGTCCCCGCCCCTGTGCCACCTCCACACGCTCCCGGGACTCTTCGTGTTTCATCACTGCTGAATCTGGGCCCCGAAGAGGGCAGGCGGTCGGACCCGCACCCCACCCCTCTGCCTCTGTCCTCTGTGTTCTCCCCGCCATCCGAGAAGCAGCGGGTCCGGGACCAAAGTCAGGGACTTGCACTCAGGCTCTGACACCCGAGCCCCCAGGGGGATGGCGGCAGCCGGCTCCAGGGAGTCTGATCTCCACTTTCTCACCTTGGCTCCCGCGGGAACCCCTGCGTCCCCCCCAGATGCACATGTGCCCTTCAGACAGTGCAGGTCACCGTGTATCTTCAGCCTCCCGTCCTCGGAGCCGCTGGGGGCTGCGTTTCCCTGGGGACAGGGTGGCCGTCCCCTGCCCTCCCGCGGTCACTGGTTCTGTTAGTGACACTGAGATCAGGTCTTTGATAGGCGCGGTGCTGTAACTGACCAAGTTAAATAAATTGTCTTCACGATTCACTGCAAAGTCCTGCAGCATTTTTATCTGTATGCTCGGCACAGTTTGAATTTAAAATGAACTGATTGGCATTGTTAGGGAAATCTGATTTCTTTCATGAAAAGTACAGTCATGCTTTGACATGATACTTGTTTTAAAGAGGTAGATGTAAGTGTAATTTTTATAGACGACATCGAGTCCGTTCTCAAGTGGTGGCATCAGCTCTCCCGATGGGGTC